CCCCCCCCCCCCCCCCCCCCCTCCAATAGAAGAGCGAGAGCGCCAGACGGAAAGAGACACAACACAATGACTAACAACACGTGTTGAGTCCCTTTGTGGCTGTTTTTGTCTCTTTGGTTATTTTTTGTCTCTTTGTAGTCATCCTGTTTCTCTTTGTGGTGGTTTGTTTGTCTCTTTGGTTGTTTCCGAATCTTTGTGGTAATTTTTAGTCTCTTTGCAGTGATTTCGTGTCTCTTTGTAGTCATTATATGTTACTTTGTGGTCGTTTGGTGTCTTTGTGTAGACATTCTGCGTCCCTATGTGGTTATTCTGCTTCTTTTGTTGTGTTAAACGAACACGTTTTTCATTAGAGCTTGAGTCCTTTTGTTTGAGATTTCCTTCAAAGGCTCAGGTCTCCTCACTGCAGAGCATTTCCACTGTGCAGTGACGTCTTCAGGATGCTGAAGCGCTGCGTTTGTTGGTGCTGTATGTTTGCAGCAGCCAGTTGTCTCTGCACCGGGGTGCTGGAAGTCAGTGTAGGTGGGTGGAATCAGAACCGCAAGCATTCACATTTGGAGAAAAGAAATGTAAATGTAAAGTGCACCCACAGCTTTTTAGTTCCATTTTGTGTTGAGGAAGCAGAGAGAAGTGTTTCATACTGAAGCTCTGAGATATATCTCTTATCTCTGCATGTTAGTGAGTACAAGTACAAGTACCTCAAAACTCAAATAGATAAGGTATTCGAGTAAATGCATCGTGCTTATTTACTTTCCACTTCTGCAAAAGTGCCATCCGATCATGTTTTTAGGTTTCAAGTCGTTCATGTCAGATTCTCTGCAGACTGAAGCTGCTGCTGATGTGCTGCTTCTGATGGACGACCAGGGTTTCAGAGATGTGAAGTGTCTCTCAGACGGCAGCTGTGACACTGATATACATTTAATTTCAGTCCCTTATGGAGAAAAAATACCTTGACCCCCAGACTGAGAGAGAACAAAACAACTCCACACAGCCGTGGTCCTCTCTCTGAGGTTGTTCTGTCTCTGCAGTTATTTTACGTCCTTTTTTTGCATTTCTTTGTGGTCGTTTTTTGTCTCTTAGTGGTTGTTATTTGTCTATCTGTAGTCATCTTGTGTCTCTTTGTGGTCGCATGTCTTTCGGATCATTTTCTGTGTCTCGGTAGTTACTGTGTCTCTCTGTTGTCATTTATTTGTCTTATTGTTGTCATTTTGCATCTCTGTCATTTTGTTTTGCATCTTGTTGTGCATCCCTTAGGGGCCGTCTCTTTGTACTTGTTTTATGTGTCTTTGTACTTGTTTTATGTGTCTTTGTAGTTGTTTTGAGGGTCTTTGCGGTCAGTGGTCTTTGTTGTGGTTTGTGGCTGTAGTCTTCTTGCGTTTCTCAATAGTTGTTTTGCTTGTCTTTGTAATTGTTTGTGTGTCTTTGTCCCTGAGTGGCCGTCTCTTTTTGAGGTTGTTTTGTGTCGTAGACTTGCCAACATGAAATGGAAACAGTCACTTCAGAAGTTCCAGAAGCTGAAGAGGATTTGGAAACAGTCCAGGTTGATGAACACACAGCAGCTTACAGTATAGCGAGAAAATACAATATGTTTTGTAAGCAGTGGGTTGTTGGTATTTATGAGAGCTGATGCCTAAAATAGATGTTTGTTCTAATCCCCGTAAATCATATTCTGTTTGTATCATCTTATATAACTGCACTGGAAGAACACCAGGTCGTGTTTGGTGTGTGAGTGTGTGTGTGTTGTACCTTTCTACGCTGTATGAACTGTAAGACGCCCTGACGAATGTGTTTCCTCTCCTTCTAAGAGGATGTTCCGTGTTGACATGTGATGTGTTGTGTTCAGCTTCATGTGACAGCTGCTGCTCCCCTAAATTGGATTTTCAATCCTCTGCATGCATGCTGAGACATTTCTCTGTTCTCTCGCATGCTTTTCAATTTATTCTGACTGATTTTCAACAATGTCATTTTTTTTCTTTTTCTGATGCTACTGATGCGATGGATGTAAATCAGGTGTCTCTCCTGTGTATCCCCCCCCCAGCTGCTCTGGGAACGCTGGAGTTTGAGCTGAGATACGAGCGCAGCTCCAGTGAGCTGCACTGCACTGTGCTCCGGGCGAAGGTAAGGACGCTCTCCAAGCCATTAATGTGCTGCTCCAACAGCCTCCACTCCTCTGCTTTCAGGCTTTCCAAAGTGGATTTTTGGACCTTGCTGCACAGATTTGTTCCCATTCAGACACAAGAGGCTCGGTGCTCTTTGTTGTATCATCTCTGTTTCAACGTGGGAATCACAATCAGCTGCCTGAAACAAATGTAGAATTAAGATTTATCTTCATTTAACTAAAGAACCCAAACCAGGAAGAACAGAGCAAAAGTATATTCTCACTTGTGAGCAAACCGCCACATAAAAGCTTGTAAACTCTAAATAAGTGGTATTTACTGATTAATATATCGTAGAACAAAATGTCAAAACCTCCTCAGCTTGTGTCGACCACACAATTTCAGACATCTAACCAAAAACACATTCAAAAGACACATCGACTTCCAGACGAGGGAACAGGAAGTGAATAAGTGGTGAATAATAGGACCTTCTTTTGACATTAGTCAACATTGACCTAACTAACCCAACAGCAAAAGACTAATAATTATTTGGTCCCTTTCAAATTGGACCATGAATTACACATCTGATGTTTGTCAATTCAAAAGATAATTTTGCAAGTCAAGAAAGTCTCAGTATGTCATAGATTTGTCGTAGTATCATTAGGTTGTGTGAAAACTGACGTTAGCTTGGTTTGCTAGCTAACTCAACTATCGTCCAAATGTAACATTATCTAGCTAGCTAGCTAGCTAGATAACTTAACTATGTTCTACATGTAACGTTATCTAGCTAGCTAACTTAACTATGTTCTAAATGTAATGTTATCTAGCTAGCTAACTTAACTATGTTCTAAATGTAACGTTATCTAGCTAGCTAACTTAACTATGTTCTAAATGTAACGTTATCTAGCTAGCTAACTTAGCTATGTTCCAATTATTAGGTTTTCTTAGCTGATGTGTTTTATCCATCATCTCTTTTTATCAGCCGGGGAGAGAAAGAACGAGTGAGACCTCGTTGTTGGTGTGAGAACATGCCGGTACGAAACATACAGATATCGTAGCTTCAGAGAGAGACAACACTTACAACACTTTTAAGTGTGTAGTCTTTCAAGAAGTACTTTCACAGTCTTATACTTCAACAGTTTTACAACAAAATGCTTCTTGATGTGTAAAATTATCTTTTAAACTCACAAACATAATATGTGTAATACATGGCAAACAGGATCAACTAATTATTTGTCTCTTGCTGTTGACTAAATTTCCCGAAAAAAGGTCCCATGGTGGTGAACCGGGGACGGGACTTCCCCTCCGCAAAATAACATTTAAACATCCTGGTTTTATCCAGTAGACGGCAGTCGTTATGTATATTCATGAAACATTATGAGGAATCCAACTACTAAAATGTCAAGATTAGGAACTGAATCCATCAACAACAGTAATAAATACACAGACACATTAGTTTTCAGCTTAGTGGTTTGGGGGTTCAGTTAGCTACTCTTTAAGTACGGAAGTTACGTGACAAATAAGTCAAAATAAGTGACTTTTGGTTTCACACTGGACACGAATGACGTTTGTGTGCTTACGTGTGGTTTGACAAAAAAAAATGATATTTGAAATCGGCCAGTATTTTAAAGCTAACCTGAGACCGATCCAGCTTTATTTGAACCAGAACACGTCTCTGCACCACGACAAAGCAACAGAAGGGTCATAACGCAGATCAAACCGCGGCACCGGGGAACGATTTAAAGTGTCAGAAATAGTAACTGAGGACTGTAAAGAGACAACCGGCTGCAGCAGACACTTGGTCTACCTGTCCCTGAGCTCAGTGTGTGTGTGTGTGTGTGTGTGTGTGTGTGCGTTATCCTCAGAGCTCAACACCTGCTCTAGAGCTCTGCTGGCTCTTAAATCTCACCGTTGACATTTCCTCTACCTGCCTAACATTCACTACCATAATGATTCATACCTGTGCTGCTATTGTTCTCCGTCCTCGGACACATTACCGGATAAAAAAATACTTTTTGTGTCGGTGAAAGTTCAAAATGAAAGAAATGCCACAGGCTCAATAAGTCTGAATTTGCACTGAAATACTATCAGGGATATAATTAATATTTGACGCTACAGCCTCCATAATCCTCTGCTCGGTGGAGGGGGAATAAAGGAAAACCAGATTCCTGCTGATGTCACGGAGGATGAGAGCAGATTTCCTTCAGTATCTGAAGTGATAACAGTCCTTTTTTATTGCTTTGAGTGATGCTTTAATTATATAAAACACAGTATTTCTCTGTAATCACACTTTATATACACTATGCTGTTTATACCACAGCAGAGACACAAAGACTTCCACTGGTCACAAAGATGTGTAATGGTGATCGACATATTTAACCCATTTAAGTACAAGATCAATACTGATCAATATATGAACTGGTGATAAACATGCTCATTGGTTTGTCGTCTCCTTCCAGTTCATAGTATGAAGAGAGACAACGTCCTCGGAGGGAGCAAGTTGAGTTGGACACCAACAAAAAGTCAACTTTGACTTATTTGTCACGTAACTTCCGTACTTAAAGAGTAGCTAACTAAACCCCTAAACCACTTTTATAAGATGAAAACTAATGTAAATGTGTATTTATTATCGTTATTAATGGATTCAGGTCCTGATCTTGACTTGAATTCTTCATAACGACTGCCCTCTACTGGATAAAACCTGGATATTTTGCAGAGGAGAAAGTCCCTGGTTTGAATTGTGCCATTAATTACATACACGTCCGTCAATTAAAATATAATTTAACACTACAGAAAGTAGCATTTTGTTGTAAAACTTCATGAATACGTAATTATACAGACGGCACACCAAAAAGTGTTGTAAGTGTCTTCTCTCTTGAAAGCTACGATGTCTAAAAAGTGATGATGGATAAAACACATCTGGATAGAAACGTTACATTTGGAACATAGCTAAGTTAGCTAGCTAGCTAGAACACGTTACATTTGGAACATAGCTAAGTCAGCTAGCTAGCTAGAACACGTTACATTTGGAACATAGCTAAGTTAGCTAGCTAGCTAGAACACGTTACATTTGGAACATAGCTAAGTTAGCTAGCTAGCTAGAACACTACATTTGGAACATAGCTAAGTTAGCTAGCTAGCTAGAACACGTTACATTTGGAACATAGCTAAGTTATGATGTTCATTTAGTACATTATGGTCCATTTAGAGTCAAACAGACCATAAAGCAGGGGATGCTTTAGGGCGGGGCTACATGCTGATTGACAGGTCAACACCAGAGACGTATACGGTGTCTCTACTTTACTCCTCCTCAGTCCAGATACGGTCACTTCCTGTTCACTGGTTGATAAAAAAAGTCAAGATGGCTCCACCAACAATAAAATACTTCTTCTGTGTTATAGCATCAGTAATAATATGATCTATATGATAACGTAACTCTCTGAAAGGGGACCCACAAGAAGTGTATTTTTACCGATCAGTTAAAGATCTGAGTACAAACTTTCATCATGAGTTCACGTCTCTCAGGTCTCAGACTCGTTAAAACAAAATGTACAGAATAACTAAAATCCGTCGCTGCAAAATGTCAAAGCTGTTGAAATGAATTTGGGATTAATCTGTCACGATGTTGATGAGGTCACCGGATTCTAATCGGGTGTTTGATCCTTCGGGCGTGTGTTTAAATCTGTTCTAATTTGAGTCAGTCAGCTTCTGATTCATCGTGATGGCATCAATAATCATCTGTTCACACTGAGATTCATCAGGAATAAATCACCTTCTCTTTACTGCATTACTTTTATAACTTTAGTTAGAGATTCAGATTATTTATCAGCTAACAACTGATGATGATGTATCTGTCACAGCTCTGCCACCGTTATGCTGTTTTTTCTATCTCTCACTCACCTCATCAGCTCATCACTCTCTGCTCACTCTGCTGCATCACTATTCAGACCCCAGTCTCACTCACTCACTGCAGATCATTGTCATGTGAGGAAACATGTGAATAGTTTAATGTTTATAACATGTAGAGACGCCATTCTTTCTACATTGGTAACACTTGTAGACATTTGGAAACATGTTGGATTTAAAGATGATATTGTTTGATCATTTTAGTAAAATAAATGATCAAACCTTTTATTTCTTCTTAATGACTGATGTCATCATAACTGTTGTTCTGCACTAAAGACGTGTTCTAGTTCTACTTCTAGTCATCATGGTTCTGTTCATAGAGGAGCAGGACTTTTATTCTGAAGAGAAAACAAGACCGCAGAGAGAAGCGTGATCTTGTGATCTCCTTTGAGTTCAGGTGTTACTGATCACATGAATGAGTCTGGAGGAGAGAAACCAATCAGACTGTGATTAATTAGAAACACCTGTTAAGTGTCTCATCATAAGTAAGTCAAATGTATTCATAAAGCTCTTTTCACAGACGTTAGTCACAAAGTGCTTAAGTAACAGGAGTGGAATTACACACAGTGACCATATAGGGACCAATCAGTAACCCTGTTCTGTGTCTTCAGGGTCTGAAGTCGATGGACTTCAACGGTTTGTCCGACCCGTACGTCAAACTCCACCTGCTGCCCGGAGCCTGTAAGGTGAGACACGACCTCGTCAGACTGACCCTGAAGAAGTCTTCATAAATACTGCCCTCACAATACTAAATATTCAAATTATCTTTTTACTTTCACTCATTTGACCAACTTCACTACCACAGAATATTTATTCACTTTTAGAATTCTTACCCTTTAAATCAAAAGTGTTATTCTCTGTAAACTAAACTCATTAGC